ATCTATAAAATGGAACACTACCCAGAAATAAAAAGGAATGAATGCATTATAGAGCAGGCAAAATGACAGAGACAGAAAGCTGAACAGTAGGCCCCAGGGGTTGGGAGAAAGGGGTTACAGGGAGTTAGTGTTTCATGGGTAGAGTGACAGGATTGCAAGATTAAATGAGTTCTGGAGATTGATAGTGGTGATGGTTGCATAACAATATAAATGTACTAAATAGCCCTGAGCTATATACTTAAAAAATGTCTAGGATGATACATTTTATATTAAGTATATTTAACCAAAATAAAGAATTTTTTTTTAGAAAAGGGAATGAAGTACTGATACATGCTACAACATGGATGAGCCTTGAAAACTTAAAGTGAAAGAAACCAGACACCAAAGGCCACATATTATATGATTCTATTATGTGAAATGTTCAGAGTAAGTAAATCTACACAGAAAGTAGATTAGTGGTTACCTCGGGCTGGGGAGTGCTGGGGGAGAACAGGCGGTGGCTGTTAACCGGCATAGGGTTTCCTTTGGAGTGATGAAAATGTTCTAAAATTGACTTTGATGATGGTTGCCCAACAGACATATTGGTTGAGAACTGTATTGTATGACTTGTATGAGAACTGTTATCTTTTTTTTTTTTTTTTTTTTTAAGACAGAGTCTCACTCTGTCATCAAGCGTGGAATGCAGTGACATAATCTCGGCTCACTGCAAGCTCCACCTCCCAGGCTCAAGAGATTCTCCTGCCTCAGCCTCCTTAGTAGCTGGGCTTACAGGTACCAGACACCATGCCCAGCTAATTTTTTGTATTTTTAGTAGAGACGGGGTTTCACCATGCTGGCCAGGATGGTCTCAAACTCCTGATCTCAGGTGATCTGCCTGCCTCAGCCTCCCAAAGTGCTGAGATTACAGGCATGACCCACCATGCCTGGGCCCAAGAACTATGTCTTAATAATTGTTATTATTTAAAAAAAAAAAAAAAAAAAAACTTGCCAGGTATGACGGCTCAGGCATGAAGTTCCAGCTACTGAGGGATTGACTGAGGCAGGAGGATGGCTTGGGACCAGGATTTGAGACCAGCCTGGTCAACAGAGCAAGATCCTGTCTCTAAAATCTATATATACATTTTTTTTAATTAGCCAGTCATAGTGGCCTGCACTTGTGGTACCTGCTACTTAGGAAACTGCGGCGGAAGGACGGCTTGAGCCCAAGAGTTTGGGGCTACGTAAGCTATGATCCTACCACTACGTTCCAGCCTGGATGACAGAGGGACACCTGTCTCTAAAAAATAAAGTAAACTGAGATGGAACAGTCACCCAGCTTCTGACTAGTGGATGATCCTCTCCCTTCTTCATTAGTGGCATATTTAACAAGTGGCAAAGGTCCTATTTTAAAATATGCCAAGTGTGTTGTCTTATTTCAACAACGTTCCATCTCAGCTGTCCTATGTGGTCTTGGTTAAGTTACTTAACTGTGATAATCTCCAATTCTCTTTGTCTATCACCTACTTCTTCCTCTATAAAAACGGAGAACAGGCCGAGCGCAGTGTCTCCTGTCTGTAACCCAAGCACTTTGGGAGACCAAAGCGGGCGGATCACTTAAGGTCAGGAGTTCGAGACCAGCCCACCCAACATGGCAAAATCCTGTCTCTACTAAAAATATAAAAATTAGCCAGGTGTGGTGGTACACACCTGTAATCCCAGCTACTCGGGAGGCTGAGGCAGGAGAATCACTTGAATCCAGGAGGTGGAGTTTACAGTGAGGCAAGACTGTGCCAGTTCACTTCAGCCTGGGCAACAGAGCAAGACCCTGTCTCAAAAAAAGAAAAAGAGGACAACAAGCATTCTTAGGAAGAAGAAATGAGCTACAAAAAGTCTCTAGAATAATAGCAGGCTTTTAAAAAATCATAGGTATTCATTCAGTGTTCGTAGACCTCAAAAATGGGTCTCTGCAAAGTAATGAAGCGATGAAAGGTAGGCAGGCCCAGAAATGTAACATTAACACATGGCAAATTCTCTCAAGTCATGCCTCCTTGCATGCCTCCTCCAGAAAGGAAAAGTTTTAGATTTACTTTTTTCCTTAGCCATACGTCTCCATTCCTGTAGTTATTTCATACTAAAGCTTTCATGTTGACCATAAATCCAAATTTTACCTTTTATGGAAGGATTAATGTTTTACATATATCTCCTTTGGACAGATACCTCTACTGAACTGGGACTTTTTTTCCTTCTTTCTCATTCTCTTTATCCAATTTCCTTGGGAATAATGAATATGGATTTCCTGTCTTCCCCTATCACAAATTCTCTGATACAAAAAACTAGAGAAAACTCTGCTCAACTGTCTATATGCAACACCACCTCTAGAAATCCAGGAACTCAGGAATTCAGGCATGCTTTTTTTTTGTTTTTTGTTTTGTTTTGTTTTTTGACACAGAATCTCATGCTGTTGCCCAGGCTAGAATGCAGTGGCACAATCTAGGATTACTGCAACCTCCGCCTCCCAGGCTCAAGTAATTCTCCTACCTCAGCCTCCCGAGTAGCTGGGATTATAGGCAACCACCACCACGCCCAGCTAATTTTTGTGGAGACAGGATTTCACCGTGTTGGTCAGGCTGGTCTTGAACTCCTGATCTCAGGTGATCCGCTTGCCTTGGCCTCTCAAACTGCTGAGATTGGAGGCATGAACCACGGCGCCCAGCCTAGGCATGCTGTTTTGATTCAATGCCTTTTACATACACAAAGAGTAGCTCCAAGCAAAAAAAAAAAAAGGAGGGGGGGGAGTAGATCTACATACATGTCCTGATATTGAAAATTGTTCTATTAAGTGGAAAAAGATAGTAATAAATTAGCATAGAATATAATCTGTAAAATATAATTATTTAAACTACTTTGTGGGCTTATGAGTATGCACATATACATGTGCATAAATTTTAAAATCTGGAAGTATATACAGAACACCAATTAGCAGTGGGCCTTACTGAAAGGGATTATGGGGTCTATCACTGCCTACCTTCCAAATTTCTGTACTGTTTGAAATCTCTGTAGCAAGAATGTTTTATAACAAGGACAAAAATAGCTAGAAGGAATAAAAGAAAAAGTTGGGAGAACTAGAGCTAAATTGTAGAATTCTAGCTCTACCATCCCCTTCATCTCCTATACACATAACCATCACCTATAGCTGGCCACTCTGCTCAGGCACAAAAGGGACCTTTCTCCACAAAGAAAAAAGACACAACTCCAATAGGCTCTTCTGCCCTCTGGAAAATTGAAGAATAACCAAGCCATGACTGAAGAGAAAAAAGAATCCCCCACAACTCACCAGAGTTGCCAGATATTCCCAGATCACTTCCTCCTCCTTTTTCTTGGGCTTTCTTTACTTTCTTTTTAACAGGCCCATCATTTTCCAATGGTCTCTTCCTGCTTCTGTCAATTTCTGTAGTCTGTATCAGGAAGGGTAGAAAATGATGCGTTATCTCTATTCTGAGAAGGCTTGATGTATGTGAAGTAATTTAAACCTTACATCTGAATGACAAACTCCTTGCCATCCACTCTTAATAGAATCCCCTACTTTTAGCCTATGGGAAAAGCCTATGGGTGAACTGTTTTGAACACCATCAAAGACAAGGTAGAGTCTGATGACTGAAGTCAGGAGCCTCAGCAACTCAAGCCCTGGTAGAATTAATTGAAACCAAAGCTGGTTACCTGTCTTGACTCAATAATCAGCCTTCAGCTTTCTCTAATTATAAAACTTGAATCACCCTACTTACATATATTAAATAAAATACTTCTAAGAAATAAACGGCTATGTAGCAAAGGCACCATTAGAGGGGAAAAGATAGGTAATAAAAGAACAGTATCATTTTTGACATGTTCATTCCAATTTAAGTGTTTCCTGTTTAAATGGTTTATGTTCATCACTAAAGATGTGACAAGATTATGAACTTTTTTTGGCAGAAAACCTGCCAAAAGCATACATAAATCCTTCACCAACTACCCTCTAAATGGTGGATCAAAATTTTGGTGAATTCATGAAAATGTAGGTCATCCTAAAAACAAAACGAAACAAAATAGAAGACGAGTAATCACTTTAAGGGAGAAATATACAAGAAGGGAACAAGATTTTGAAGCACCCAAGCTGTCACCTACATTAAAACACAGTAGGTGGCTAAAAACCAGTCTTCAATGCCCTTCCACAGCCTCGGTTTGAGAAATACTGTGCAGGGAGCCCCAATGAGGGGCTTTTCCCGTGGCAGTATCTCTGGTTTAAAAACAAACAAATGCGCGTATTGCGTTGAAGGATGGCAACAGGAAGGACCCCATGATTAATCACATCTATAACCATCCTAAGAAACTTTATCCACCCAAATTGTATTTCAGACTTTATAATCTAAACTACAAAAAGTGCAGTCACTGGGGAACTGCACAATATGATTGCTTTTAACCTAATGATTTGAAATACTGGGCAGTGCTGTTGCAGCCTTAAAAACTGGAGACCTAACAGCAGCTTCCTTCTAGTCAGCCAATCCAGCACTTTTTAAATCAGTAAAACCCTTCAACCACCAAGAAAAAAAAAATGGAGGTTAAAAGACGCACCCCTTGCCCACAAGCCTCCTCGTCAGAAGACCTTAGTTCCTGTCTCAGGCCTGCCATTAAAAACCCGCGTGACCGTGGTCTAATCAGCTCAAATGGAAGTACTAAAAACTCAGCGCTACACCTAGAACGTAGCCCCGGCTGGGCCCTTCCCAACTTTCCCTTCCTCGGCCCGCCCCTTCCTCCTCCAGCCCAAACATCTGGCGGAGGGTTCCCACCTCCGCGCCTCACCCACAAGCCCCGCCCCCTGGTCCTGACGGCTCGGCCCAGTTCCGGACAGCACCTACCACGTGCGGCGGCAGCTGGGGCGGGAAAGTGGACGCTGGGGGCGCTGCGGCGTCTGGGTCCACCTGGTCGGCTGCACCCGCGGAGGAAGAGGTGGATTTCAGGCTTCCCGTAGACTGGAAAAATCGGCTCAAAACCGCTTGCCTCGCAGGGGCTGGGCTGGAGGCAGCGAGGCCGCCCGACGCAGGCTTCCGGCGAGACATGGCAGGGCAAGGATGGCAGCCCGGAGGCAGGACACAGCCGGGAGCGCGAGCCCGCGGCCTCAGTTCCCAGGCGTCTGCGGGCGCGAGCACGTCGCGACCCTGCCGTGCGCCGGGGCGGGGGGCGGGGCCTCGCCTGCACAAATAAGGACGAGGAGGCGGGGCGGATGATTTCGCGCCAAACTTGGCCGCGGGTCGTGGTGTATCGAGCGGGCTCAGTGCTCACTGCTGCTGTCATGGTTCAGTTGCTAAACTGCATCGTCGCTGTGTCCCAGAACATGGGCATCGGCAAGAACGGTGACCTGCCCTGGCCGCCGCTCAGGTATCTGCCGGGCCGGGGTGAGGGGACCCAGACTGGCGCAAGTCTGGGGTCGGGGTACCTGGGTGGGACTCGCCTGGCCTACCTGCGGCGGGAGGATGGGGTCAAACTTGCGGTCTGCGCTGACTGGAGGGGTGGATCCGGCTGGATTCCCCTTTCTGCTGAGCGGGAGGCCAAGTTGCTGATTTCTACCCGAATCCTGCTGCCTGGTGAGGTCTTTGCCCTGCGGCGCCCTTGTCCAGAGCAAAGTCCCAGCCCTGAAGTAAACACCCCGTCCCTGCCCCCAGCGCTCCATTTGTCGGGTGCGTTAGAGCTCGAGCCCAAGGGATAATGTTTAGAGTAATGCTGTGTTTCTCTAACTTGTAGGAATGAATTCAGGTATTTCCAGAGAATGACCACAACCTCTTCAGTAGAAGGTAATGTGGGATTCAGTAGGGTCTTGCTTAAGTTTACCAATGCAAATGCTAGTTAAATGGAAAATTGTCCGTGTTAATCTGGAACCTTTTCTCTTATGGATCTCTATGCAGTTTCCAAGGTTTATTTATCATTATTAAAAATTTTTTGTCTTAGAAATTTTATGTTAAGTCATGAGCAAATTCAGGCAAGGGACAGAATTGGCAGCTGGGTGGAGGCTTCCTTGGAGGTTAGCACTCTCAAAAAAAAAAGCAGAGGAAGCCTTTGGAACAGCTTCTCGAAGAGATGATAAGGTCTGAACGAGGGCAGTGGAAAAGAGAGGGTAAAAACTTTTTTAAGGTTACATGACCCTGGCTTTTGGAGATCTGGAATCTAAAGATGATGAATCAAGGATGAACGCTCAGATTATCAGTTTGAAAGCTCGCATGACAAGTAAAGGAGTGGAGAATAATGTGCCACTGTAGTGATGAGGAACCTCTAGGACATCTGGGTTAATTTCAGGCACAGGGTGTAGGTGAATTGAACCACTGGAGGGAAGGGGTTAACCAAGAAAAAGAGGGGGTTAAGAGATGCTCCTTTTAAAACCTAAGAGACGTGGATATTTATGGTCCTAAGAGGAGGCATGGGCAGGGGAAACAAAGAGTAAGGAAAGAGCAGATGCTGTATCTCTTTAATGGGACAGATACAAGGCATTTGTGTTTGACACTTAGATCACTGGTAGAGGTGATGGCAAGAGCCTATAGCTAAAGAATTAATAAAAGCCACTCTCAAAAACCCCAATATGGTCTGGTAATCTTAATGTTTCTTTGGTTCAGATAGCTGACTCTCAAAGTTATTCTTCTAAGAAAATGAACCAAAAGTGGAAGCTATATGTAAAAGATTTGTTTAGAAGTGTTTACTTAAAAGAGTGGGAAAGAGACATAATTAAACATGTTTTAAGGTAATTGAGTGGAACATTAAGCAGCTATTTTTTAAAAGTATGATTTAATGTAAATCTGCAAGGTACACAAATAGGAGTAATACAATTATATCAAACAGTTGTGACCGTACTGATTAGAGGCTGAATATTATTCTAAGTTTTTAATTCCCACAACAACCCTAGAAGCAGGAACTACTGTTATCTCTATTTTATTAAGTAAACCACAAGGGGTTAACATGGTTTGTCTTGTGGATGAGAAAATGCATTCAACTTGAGCACTTTGACCTAGAATCTTTACTCTTTACTATGTTATACACAATTGCAATTAATTAAGACTGAATATTGGATATAAATTGGATAATTCCAAAGGGAAAAATAGTTATATTTAGGATATGAGTGGTAAGTATGAACTTTGGTAAGTCTTTTAAGTTTCAATTTTTTTAAAGGAAATCCACTAGATGGCAGGGTGTCAGTCATGTCCATGCACATACCTAAACTAAGTCCTCATTTAAAGTCATCAGTGAGTTCTTGAAAACTGACTGTAAGTGAAACAATATATGGGGAAACCAATTTTACCGTAGGCTACTTGATATGCACAAGAGTTAAATTCCCAGGGCATATTCCTGGTCACAAAAAAAATCACAAAACTTCTAAATGAAGGCTGAAAACACTTCTAATATTAAACACTGAAATAAATAAGAGCTTTACATATGTTTAAGAAAGATTAATAATGTGCACATCTTTGGGATGTGGAAGGAAACGAGAACCTAGAGAAAACCCAGGCAGACATGGGAAAAGCATGCAAACTCCACACAGACAGTGTGGCCCTGGCCAGGAATTGATTATTTTTCTCATCAACATTAGACGAAAATGATGTTATTCAAGGACCTGTTGTATATAAACATATGAAAATATATGTATATTCACAAAATATACTTAGGCTTTCTTTGTGATTTTATAGATAAACAGAATCTGGTGATTATGGGTAGGAAGACCTGGTTCTCCATTCCTGAGAAGAATCGACCTTTAAAGGATAGAATTAATGTAGTTCTCAGCAGGGAACTCAAGTAAGTACCTTAGCATAAATTCACCACAAGAAAATCATGTCTCATATCTTATAGTGAAGATCAGTATAAAAGGAGCTATTGAAGCTGCTTAATATCACAAAGGTTATTACAGAAAATGAATAAGCAGTTGTTTATACTACATGACAATAACTTATTCTACTACCTGAGTAATTGATTTCATCACCTTGAAAAGTTACATTAAACATTAAATATCTCACTGTGGTATCACATTTGCAAGTTTTCTTGAACCATCATTCAGTAGGCTCATATGTAAATTATACAGGGTAATCAATAACTTCTAGTTTCATATAAAGTCAAAACAACTATGTTTGGGGACTTGCTAAAATTAAGTGATGATCCCCTTTCTGGACACAACCGTAAATGTAATAAAATGTAAATTTTAGGATGGGCTGAAATGGGTCATAATTTTCTGCCTATTATTCCTAATTAACCACAATACCCATTAATATTTTGTACTTAACATTCATTACCCAGTGTGTGAAGGTAAAAAATTTCAAAGTATTGAGATGGTTCTAGAGATCCTGGGGCAAAGCGTGTATCTCTAATTAGCCTCTGCTAAGAATTTTCCTGTCCTCCAAACCAGCGTTGGAGTTAGTATTTTCTGAAATTACTCCTGGATATTCCCTGGAGAGTTGGAAGGTAATCATATTAAGACTGCCCAGGAAGTCAACTCCATGGTTTGAGAGGTTGAGGGGTGGCCAGAATTGGACCTGTGTTAGTCCATTCTCACGTTGCTAGACTGGGTAATTTATACAGGAAAGAGGTTTAATTAACTCACAGTTCCTCATGGCTGGGGAAGCCTCAGGAAACTTAAAATCATGGTGGAAGGGGAAGCAAACACGTCCTTCACATGGTGGCAGGAAGAAGTGCCCAGCAAAGGGAGAAAGCCTCCTTATAAAACCATCAGATCTCATGAGAACTCACTATCACAAGAACATCATGGGGGAAACACCCCCCCTCCCATGATTCATTTATCTCCACCTGGTCCTGCCCTTGAAATGGGGATTATTACAATTCAAGGTGAGATTTAGGCCGGGGACACAAAGGCCAAACCATATCAGGACCTAAGGGCAAAGAAAGTCTGGAATCTGGCATGTTAATCATTGCTTCTTAGTCTAATAATATAATCACCTAAGAGAATGCAGTATCCTAGGGCACTACTTGCTTGGGAACAGTGGTCATAGTATTCTTTTCTCATGTGTATTAGTCAAGATTCAACCCAAGAAGCAGAACCAGTAGTAGATAGATAGATATTAAAGAGTTTTCTTGCAAGAAATTGGCTTACACAATTGTGAGGGCTGGCTATGTGAGTCCACAAATCTGTAAAGCAGGCCATCAGAAAGGTCAAGCTGGAATTCTCTAGAAGGGGCTGAAGCAGTGCAGGTGAAATTTCTTCAGAGAAGCCTCAACTCTACTCTTAAGGCCTTCAAACTGAATCAGCTCACTCAGATTAAAGTCTGACCAGGAACAGTGGCTAACTCCTGTAATTCCAGCACTTTGGAAGGCCAAGGCAAGTGGATCACTTGAGCTCAGGAGTTTTGAGACCAGCCTGTGCAACATGGTGAAACCCCGTATCTACAAAAAAATTAGCCAGATGTGGTGGTATACCTGTAGTCCCATCTACTCAGGAGGCTAAGGTGTGATGATCACTTAAACCCAGGAGCACAGCTTGCAGTGAACCAAGATCGTGCCGCTGTACTCCAGCCTGGGCAACAGAGTGAGACCCTGTCTCAAAAAAATAAAAAACTGAATTGTAATCACATCTACAAAATACCTTCAAAACAACACCTAGATACAGTATCTGAATAACCAAGGACTATATCCTAGCCAAATTCACACACTATGAGAAGGAAAAAACTACACAGCTATATAGGCTAAGGGGATTCAGGCTTACATAGATTTTCTCCCAAGTTTTTCCTAGAATGGCATAGGTGAAAACTGAGAAATGTACCAGAATATTTGCACTGATTGCCTCTGGGCAGTGGGGCAGATTTGTTGATGGGCATCTTGCTGCCTGCTTCCATCTTCATGCTGTTCTTCTGGTTGCTAGGATATTCTGATTATCTCTTTCTTTGGTAGAATTCAAGTTCACAGACTATATCACCATTCCAAGAAACTCTAATGACACTTTTTAATACTACTCAAGTTTGTTTATGGCTAGCTTGAGCTCAAACAAACAAAAAGAAATCTTAGTGGGGGAGATGTTCACTTGAGCCAGCATTTCTCCTCAAAGGATGAGTGTAATTTTTTTTTTAACCTCCCTGTGGTGCATGTAATTGGGTTTGGTTGCTTCTTGTGTATTTATATATAACATATGTTGGTGTCTTGTGCTTTCTTTTTTTTTTAGGCTAAGAAAATTTAAAGTCTATTATCAAGCATGCCAGGGAAATAGTGATACCAGTTAGTAAAATGTGTTAGAGCTCTTTGTTGTTGTTGTTCTTGCCCCTGCTTCCTTACTTGCTGGTCAGTCCCACACATGTAGGGAGCACCTACTGAGTGCCAGGCACTGCAGGGTCCTGAATAAAGGGGCAGAGATTTATACATGGAAATCACTTGCTTATGCAAGCTCTAAATATATCTGTTTTTTCACCCTCTCCCCCAGCGTAAGAAGAAACTGAATCCCCAAGGTGATCACAAAATTTTCTACCAAACACTAGTTGTTTAGGGTAAATATTTCCTTAGTAAGGTATTGGGGGAAAATGCTTCTCCACATTTGTCCAGACAATCAAGTTGTACCTTTAAAAGAACTTGAGGTGAGAAGAGTGGGAATGACCACCGACGAGTACAGAATGGTTTTGTTTTTGTTTTGTTTTGTTTTTTTTGGTGTGATGGAAATGTCCTAAAAGTGGATAGGAGTGATGCTTGCACAACCCTGTGAATATATTAAACATAACTTTCCTTACCTATTAAATGAGATGAATAATGACAACTTTTTAGGGTGATTTTGAAGACTCACTGAAATTTTGTATTTAAAGTTTCTGGCACACAGAAGGATGTAGACATCAGTTCCTATCCCCCAGCCTTGCTACTTTATATCTTATAGAACATACACATTAATATAATATTAATGAAATCACAGTGAACAGATCTCATTTTCACCTTAACATATTACTTTGTTCTTGTTTCTCTGGATCTTGAGACAAAAATCCCCCACCACCTAAATCAACTCTCTCCTCTCCCTGACTTTATTCTGGATTCCTTTTTTTTTTTTTTTTTTGTTCCTATCTTCGCCTTGCTCTGCTGTCCCAACCTTTTAGTATTATCAAAGGCAAAATTAAAATGTTGAGATGAATTTCTAAATTTAACATTTTCTTTTGGAAAAAAAGAACTGCTGTTTAGGGCATATATACGTACAGTGGCCTTCCATATGTCTGAAGGACAAGGGAAGGTTAGAGGTTTTATTAAAAAGGAGAAATGTTACTGCTCTTGGAGAAAGTTCATTGGCATTACTAAGGTTTGGGGGACCTGGCACCTCCAACTGGTGAGCAGCAAGTGGTAGGCAAAATTAGTTCTGGAGTTGCAGCAAGTTATCTTAGAAGCTATAGATAAAACTGGTTTCAGGTTACAACAAGCAGTACCAGCAGTCAGGCTCACAGAGAATTACATTCTTGGAGCAATGTTTTATACCCCGAGTGCTTTCTTCCCCGGCCCCTCAACTCTGATTTAGTTGGGTATGACAGGAATGACCCACCGTCACCCACGCCAGAGTGCAGTGGTGTGATCTTGGCTCACTGCAACCTCTACCTCCCTGGCTCAAGCAATTTTCCTGCCTCAGCCTCCCAAGTAGCTGGGATAACAGGCATGTGCCACCCACGCCCAGCTAATTTTCTTATTTTTTAGTAGAGAAGGGATTTCTCCATGTTGGCCAGCCTAGTCTTGAACTCCTGACCTCAAGTGATTCACCCACCTCAGCCTCCCAAAGTTCTGGGATTACAGGCAGGAGTCACCACATCTAGCCTACCGGACATTTTAAACCTCACCACAGTTTACTTTTTAAACTTACTTTTTACTGTTTTAAACCTCATCACAGTTTACTTTTCTTCTACCCTCAATTTCGTTAGAGCTTTCTTGTATTAAATAACTTCCATATGATTAAAATAAAATTCTGTACTACACTTCTATTGTAGTCTGTCATGCCTGTGCCTTTGCACATGTTTTTTATCTCCTTTGACACTCAGTTAAGGAATCATGACTTGAGGAGGATTCTCCCTCATCATCCCTGACCTGCATTCCCCTGTAGCGTCCCCTGCACATCTTCACTGCATATCCTTTCGTACGTTATAGTCAGTGCTGAGACATTTCTGACTGCCATCACAATCTCTTTGAGTGCAGGGACTGCATATTCATCTCTATTCCCAGAATCTAGCATAACCCCTAGCAAAGTAGGGATTCAGAAATCTTCACAGAATGAATAGTATATAGGTGATTTATAAAAATAGAACAATCCCACCTAGTACCACTTTGTAACCTGCCTCTTTTCCCCTCAATACATTAGAAAATAAAGTCGTGTAAATATTTTTAGTGGCTACAGAGTATTTCACAATGAGGCTGGATCATACCCAATTTTTAATATGGGTATACCTCAGAGATAATTGCAAGTTCAGTTCCACACCACTGTAAAAAAAAAAAAAAGCAAATATCACAATAAAGGTAGTCACATGAATTTTTTGGTTTCCCAGTGCATATAAAAGTTATATTTATACTATACTATTTAGTATAACAGATGTGCAATAACATTACATCTTTCAAAAAATGCATGTACCTTAATTAAAATATGACTTAAAAATACTAACAATCGTCTGAGCTTTCAGTGAGTTATAATCTTCTCATTGTGGATGGAGTGTCTTGCCTTGATATTGATGGAAGCTGACTGATAAAGGTGGTGGTTGCTGAAGGCTGGGGTGGCTGTGGCAGTTTCTTAAAATAAGACAACAATGAAGTTTGCCACATTGATGGACTCTTCCTTTCATGAAAGATTT